AGCAGTTCTGCTCTGTCCTGTAGGGTCGCTATGAGTCAGAATCAACTCCTGGCAATGGTTATTTGAAATGCAAGTGGATTTTGAAGGGTAGCCTGCAAACTGCTGGATTTAGCATACCATGTTAAGCTTCGATATGTAAGACTGGATTTTGAATTGGGTTCCAGTAATTCCCTATTTATTAAAGGAAGCATGAAGTCTATTTCCCAATGTTTTCACAACCTCTGTGTTGGTAAGAGAACTACTTAATAAATGCTTGTTGAATGAGCCTAGGAACCTGAGACTTAAGCTTTGGGCTGCTACCCACAAGGCCAGCAGTTCAAAACCACCAGCTGCTCCTCAGGAGGAAGATGAGGCTTTCCACCTGGTAAGATTTAGTCTTGGAAATCCATACTGACCGTTCTCCATCCTGAGATCAATATGAGTTTGAAATGACAAAGTGGCCATGAGTGAGTGTTGGATGAACAAAGAGCAGAGCTCAGAGTCCTTAGAGTTTAAGAATTTTGTTTTTGCTTTGTTTTGTTTTGTTTTATGTTCCTGTTTTGTTCAGGATTCAGACCAGTTAGATCTGTCTTAATGTGGCCTGAAGCTATTGTTCTTGTAGGTTGGTTTGTTTTCTAGAACTGTGATAGCCAGTATGGTAACCACTAGTACATGTGGCTCTTGAGCATGTGAACTTGGACTAACGCGGCTCCAGAACAGAATTGTAATTTTCATAAACTTAAAATTTGAAAATTGATACTTGATTCAGTTATGTCTGGGACAACTTAGGGAAGACTCTCCTGCTTCAAAGTTATGTATACGACTCTCCCATGTTTCCTGTGGACTGTGCTGTACTAGATCATCCTTGATGCCGAAGACCAAGTCTCCGTCTGGGGGCCGATGACGGGAACTGAAAGGCAAAAAGCCAGCGCTCTGTTGGTGCCGACGGAGTTCCTGAGTCAGGTGTAAAGAAGAAGAGCAAACCAGAAACCGAGCTCATTGCCATGACGTTGATTTCCAGTCATAGCGACCCTGTAGGATGGAGTAGAATTATCCCATGAGGTCTCTACGTTGATACATTATATATCGTTACAAAGGCAGAATACCGTGTCTTCTGCGAAGCTGGTAGATCCGAACCACCAACCTTTTGATTAGTAGCCAAGCACTTTAACCCACCATGGACCCTGAGGAAGGAAAACCAGAAACAAACCCATTGCCATTGAGTCCATCCCAACTCAGCAATCCTCTTAGGAGTATATGAAGCTCTAAATCTGTATGGGCGCAGATAGCCTCACCTTTTTACCTCAGAGTGACTTAGCAGTCCAAAGCTTACCCATGTTTATTAAGCTCCTGCTGTTTGCCAAACGGAAGGAGCTTAGATGGCACTGTGGGCTAAGTACAGAGCTGCAAGGTTCAAGGTTCTAACCCACCCTTTTTCTCCGTGGGAGAAAAATGAGGCTCTCTGCTCCCATAAAGATCTGTAGTTTTGAAAACCCTGTATCGCGTCACTATTGAGTTGGGATCACCTCAGTGGTGGTGGGTTTGGTTTTGTGTGTAAGCAGGAGCAGTGATCGAATGCTCACCTTCCTTGGGGCAGAAGTCACGTGCTATCCACCTGTCAAGGGAGACTGGTGTGTTACTGTGACATTAATTGGGTTTCAGCAGAGCTTCTAGACAATGAGCTAAGACAAACTAGTAGAAGGAAGACCTGGAAGTAGGCCTAGTGACCTAATTCCAAAAATAAACCAGTGAAAACTGTATGGAGCACAGTGGTAGGACCCACAACCAAACTTGGATAGGCTAGGACTGGGTAGGATTTCATTCCATTGTGCATGTCACCCACCAGGCTCACTCGATGACACCTCACAACAGCTTATGCCAGGCACTTAGGCACTGGGGATATTGTACTGATGGAAGCTGCACACGTGTTCCAGCAGCCTTGATCACAGTAGCAAAACGTAAGAAGCAATCTTACTGCCCATCACACGGATGCATGAATAAACAGAATGTGCATGTTCCACACAGTAAGTTGAGAATTGGGCTATCCAGTGGAGTGACACATGGACTCATACTACAATGTGGATGAATCATGGAAACATTCTGCAAAATACCGCATGTTGTATAGTTCCTTTATATGAAATGTCTAAAGCCGGTAACTCCGTGGAAACAGAAAGTAGACCCATGGTTTCCAAAGGGTGAGGGCAGAAGGGATTGCAACAGATTGCTGCTGATAGTTGTGGGGGTCCTTTTGCAAACTAGGTAGCGGGTGACGGTTGCCAACCCGGTGGAGACACTTAAAATCATTGAAGTGTACACAGTAAAATGGTGAATTGTCTGTTAGGTGAATTACATCTCAATTTTGGGAAAAATTAAACTTGAAAAAGGCAATTCTCTCCCCTTAAGGAGCAGAGCAGGCGGATCTGGGTGGTTACACCTGTAGCAAACCATTGTAGTACCCTGCGGTATGAGTGCCAGTAACTGCCTAAAGTCTTTACCTCCAAGAATTGACTGGGCCCTGGGAACCGATTCCTAGGATTTGAGTCCCTCAGAGTTAGTGGTTTACAGCTTTGTGCAGAAATTCCTGGAAGCTCCTGGGCCTTGGATGAAGGTTACCTACCGAGGGTTCCCTGAGGGCCTCCACAGCCGAAGGTTCTGGAAAGCAAAGGAACACCAAAGACTGGGACAGTTGGGTGAGACCTGTGTGGTGAGTTAAGCAGTGGGCGGCTAACCCTAGGGAATAGCCGTGCTCTGTCCTGCAGCATCTCCATGAGTCAGCAACTGCTTCACAGCAGTGGGATTTCCTCTTTGGGTTGGAGTTCCTGGGTTGAAAACACAACTCAGCTAGTTTCAGCCAGAAGGGATTGATTACAGCCGAAGAACTAAGAATGGACTCTTGCCTAAGCTAGAGGAAATAACCAGGCCCACACCCTCTAGCAAGCTGAGCCTCTAGGCTTGTCACTGTTTGTGCTGCCGTCAGCACACTACCAGCCAACAGACTCGGAATGCTGGTGGCAAGAAACCACGGGATTTCTCTCAGCAGCAACAGGAAGCTTCCCGGAAGAGAAGGAAGCTACTGTAACAGCTGCTGGACCCAAAGCAGGCGGCTTTTGCGGTGATCACACCAGGACACTGTACTCTTTATGTCTTCCTGTCCTTTACCAGCTGTCCAGAACTCCTGCAGATAAATGATGATTGCAACCTACATAGGGTTCACAACCACAGCTGCAAAGACATAAGAAAGGTAGAGCCTGTCTTTTCCATCTGTCTTTGTAGCTTCTGTCATGTCCAAACCAAAAACCAAACTCCCGGTCATCAAGTCAGTGCTGACTCATAGCAGCCCCTCTGGGTTTCTGAGACTGGAACTGTTTATGGGAGTAGGAAGCCCAGTCTTTCTCTTGGCTGATTTGAACTGCCAACCTTGCAGATCACAGTTCGACATGTAACCACTACACCACCAGAACTCTTAGGCAGATAAGAATAGATATGTATTAAGCCAATCCCCAGATTCATAAGACCATTTTCTAATCCGTGTGAATACCCAGACTCTAACTCTGGCCTCTGCTTGCGGGGCTTGTAGATTGATGGTACAGGGGAGATTAGAGGTCAAGTCCCTACTAGGCACTTTTTGGGTCCCTCCACGGATGCGACAACAGCCTGTTTCAGGTCAGGTAGTCCTTCTGACTTAACATTTTCTGTACTGCCTTTCCTACTCGTGTTTAATGTATTCACCAACCACTGGGAGTAAAGAATAAAGAAGTAGATTCATTACTCTCAAAGAGAAGATGCTGATGTTGCTGTACTGGACATGACTGCCGTCTGGGTGGTGGAGGACCCTGCACAGAAGCAGGACTGGGTAGGTCAGGACAGAGTACGAGGAGAAAAATGAGGCTTTCTACTCCCATAACGAGTTACGGTCTCAGAAACCTACAGGAGCAGTTCTGATTGTTTTGTGGGGTCAAAGTGAAATCATTGTCAGGAGATTGGCCCTTGTGAGGGTGTTTTGTTTTGTTTTTGACTCTTGGAGGGGTGAGTAGGAACGGAGAGGAGGGGGACACAGTGTGTGCAGAGCTTTCCAGGGAGTCAGTGGAACAAGCGCCCGGAAGTGAGCTGCTGGACCTATTGCGAAGTAGGGACAGAAGAGAGACCTCAGGGAGAGTGCTGGCCGTTGGTGACTGGGGACCAGACCGAAGCAGGGCGGAGTTGGTCAGGGAGTGAGGAGGGAGGAGTGGGTTTAGTTTAGACCTCTGGCGGACAAGTGAAAAACATCTTAGACCTGGGGCCGCCTGCACACTGACCCGGCAATCCCGTGGCATGAGCTCGGCCGAGCAGAAGCCGGTAGGTGTTCTTCTTCAGTGCTCACCTGCGTTGACTCCCGAGTGAATTGCTTCAAGGGAGCGGGGTCGGTGCTCTGCATTGTGCTTTCTGCTGTAGGCTGCACGGTTTCTGCACTGCCGCACCTGCTGGCTCTCCTTTGTGTGTTTTTCAGCGTAGCGTAATTAGAACCCAAAATCAGTGAAGCTGAAGTGTGTTTGTTTTCCTTTGAGTTGAAGATCGCATGAAGTGAATACACATTACTGGTCTCATGCTTGGGTGATATATGAGAATTAAAAATGTGCTGCACTGGAGGTTATAAAAGTAGCTATTCGAGAACATGTTTGACCATACATTTGCATTTGTTTATATAGGTGTTTTTAAGACTTTTATCATAGACCGTGGATCTGAAATACAGTTCCCAATTCAAAAAGTAAGGACTATACTTAAAGAAAGATGTTGAGCCCTATACCGAGAAGTCCTTTGGCCAGTATTTATATAGCTAATAGACTGGCTGGCCCTATATTAAACAAACAAACAAAACATTGGAATATATTTGTACTTTCGGTACTTAAAAATTGTTTTCCCACTTACAAAGTAGCCTAAATTCTCTCTGGTTCTTTTCCTATAAAAATCCAACCAAATGCATTTGACGGAATTTGCTGTGATCTTTGGATGGTAATTGAATTCCCCTTTTTTGTGGCCTGCAGGAAATATGGATTTAGCCGCCAGAGCAAAACAGAGAAGGTAAGAAAAGCACAGATAATGGGAGAGACTATTTGAGGCATGGACGTGTCCCTGGTCTCCAGCCCAGGCTGGAAAGTAGTTCCTTGGGAGCCTGGCACGGTGAGTGGGAGGCTGCTGACCACCAGGTGTGGTCCCTGGGCAAGCAAAGAAGCAGGAGGTGCCAGCTGCCTTTGACCACCACAGCTCCCTCCTCCTGTTCGACAGGGACCTGACAGTTGGTGTAAAAGCTGGAAGCAACGGGTGACTGAAAGTTGTCGCCCCAATGTCAGTCATGTGAGGTCTACGTCTATGGCCATGAGAGACTCTAGACAGGTGTGAACCAACATAGCAACCAGCTAGAACAACCAGAAGTCACAAGCATGACCAGTCCTAAGATATCTCCGGGTGGAAAATCAGGTAGAACTGGGTGTGGTTTTTGCTTTCACCAAGGTTCTCTCCAAGACCTTCATTGGTTCACCTGTTTATTGACAATTTTAGTTGTCAGCAGCAAGGCAGGCAAAAAGCTCAACAGTGCCAGACTTTCCCTGATTTCTCAGCCCTCTGCTCAGAGCTCTGCCTGTACCTTTTCCCTTATTCCCCTGAGCAGCTCCATGAGGAAGATACTTTTTCTTGTTTTTCACGTCAGAAAGCTGGGGTTCCGAGAAACTACGTTACTTGTCTAGGATCGCCCAGGAAGCTTAATACCAGACTATGAATCTGCCCGGCATCAAAGTCTGCTCTTAAGCACTGCTTTTAAACAAAATGATGCGGTCGGCATGGCCAATGGCTCTTCAATAGGAGAACCTCACAGCTTGGGCTCTGCTAATAAGCTCTCGTTCTCCACTGAAACCAGGTTTCCTTGGGTGGACCACTTCTTCCTCTGCTCTTCTTCTGCCACCCAGCTCCTATCCCGGTCCCCGTCCTCCGTCCTCCTTCCAGCAAGCTTCCCTGACCTACTGGGCCCCCTCGGCTTCCCATAGTGACTCTTGTCTCAGCCCATGGGGCAGTGAGAGGCTCCAGGAGCATGCCTTCTCGGGCTGCACTGGCTGGTTTCATGTCCTAGCACCTCCCTTGCTGTCTGATTTTTGGACAATTGCTTTATCATTGTGCCTACCTTACAGCTGCCTGTAAAGGTTGAAGGCCGTCGTATGAGCCCACGTGCAGTCAGCACATAACAAGTGTCACCTAGTGTTACTGGTTCATGGAAAACTAGTTCTTCACTGCTTGTGGTATCATCCCTCCAGAGCAGAATGTTTTTGTGTCATGTGGCACCTGGTGTGTAATAAGGGTTTTGATTTAACTTGGTATATGACTTAAAGTCTGAAAAGAATGTTTGTATATGACTGTATGCTGAAAAAGAGGCGATGTATTAGCGTTAGAAAAATCAGGAGATTCCCATGGAGTGGCACTCCAACTGGGCTTGTTATGTATGTCAGAGTGCCCATTTGAATTGGAGCCTTGTCCCCTGTAGATATGTCTAGCAGTTAGGCACTTTGGGTGGCCCCCACGCTCAGTTAGAGATTTTTTGTAGGAAAACGCCTTGGAGCTGAATGGCCCTTGATGGGTATCCAAGTCCAGGCCTTTCAGTCAACCCTAAAAGACTTGTCCAGGGAGGGTAAGCCTGGAGGCAACCAGTTGGTGGATGGTTAGTAGTGCATTTAAACCGAGAAGACTAGGCATGGAGCCTGTTTTTTAAAAACATTCCATCTAGGCTGGCTCAAGTGCAGTTTGGCCTAAGACTAGGTCCAGAGCATGGAGCTTGATCATCAGAAGTCATTTAGATTTTTATCCTGATCAGTGATAAGTCCTGTGATGTGTGCAGCTTTGTATTAATTAGCAGGCAATTTGGAAATGAAGACAGAAAATTACCAGCTCCTGGAGCCCAGTCCATTCAGAGTGTAGCTCTAATGGCAGTTCCAGATCAGCGGAGTTTCCCGTCCTTCCTTGGGCTGCGGTTGCTATTCAGGCCTGTGTGTTCCTTCACAGGCTCAAGCTACTTTGCAGCCTTTTCTCTGCTGTATCCAAGCTCCAGTGCTTAGCCATGTTCACGGTTTCCCTTTCAGTGTGAGGACAAGAAAGCACCACTGCCTTCAGGACTCTCAGTGGCAGAAAAGGCTGAAGCCCAGGAGGAAGATGAGCTCCAGGCTGCTGAAGAGGTGAGTGGGTAAGGAAGCCCTCTGAGGTTTCTGTTTAAAGCATTTGCAGAGAAATATATTCACTCTTAACTCCAACATTCCAAAATGACCTGCTGGGAGCTTGCCTCCCAGGCCCATTTCCAGCTGCTTCACAGCAGGTCTGAGGTTCACCTTCAAATCGGGGCAAGGGCAATAACCTCTCGTTATTTTATTTTATTCAGCACTGTCCTTAAATCTTGTGGTCACAGCTCTTCACTGTTGCATCTCCCTCTTCCTCTTCAGCAGCGCATTCAGTCGCTGATGACCAAGATGACTGCCATGGCCACGGAGGAGGTAAGGTGGGAGTAGACCGAGTTGGGGCCCCCCGCCCCCGATTTCCTCTAGTTTATTTGGAGGAGATATTTGTGGGTGTATACTGTAACCTGGAAAGGGCGCCTTGAAGACTCGTGTGAGAGCCGGCTGCAGCGTCCGTGTGGGAGCACTCCTGCTAGTTTCAGCCCTCCCTCTGGGCAGCTGCGGGTCTTGAAGGAGCCCCTATGTTCTGCTTTCTTCCAGCACCATCTGGGTAGATACCGCATAGGTTGGTCTCCCCAGACGTTGGGAGGCTTTGTCAGACAGAGGCTTTGAGGGATCATTCTTAGAGTGGGGAAGGGCTGTGGGAATAGACAACTATTTTAGGGGTTCTGTGATTGCTCTTCCTTCCCCATTTTCACTTGTCCTCCCTGAGTCCATCAGGGGCCAACTTCCTTGCCAGTTCTGCTTAGTGGCCCTTGGCATGGAGCAGAAAACCCATTTGTTTTTCCAGGATACCCAGGGTATAAGAAACATTTAGCACAGGAGGTAGAGAAGTCGTTAAACATGTGCTCTAAGGCGAGTTTTCTCTCTTCTTGATGAATAAGTGAGCCAAAGCTAAATCACTCTCTCCTCGGACTATCACCTACTTTGCACTAATGCTCGGTGTTCAGGTTGTACAGTCTCGCCTCTCTGTGACTGCAGACCCGGCTCTCTGCAAGCTCCGTGGGCCAGATCGTGGGCCTGTGCTCCGCTGAGATCAAGCAGATGGTGTCTGAGTACGCCGAGAAGGTACGTGCCCTGCTCAGCCGAAGTCTTAGGCTCCGAAGCTTTGTTCTCTGACATCTGTCTCTTCCGGGCTCAGGCAGCGGTGCCACACACCTTTGTCAAAAGACAAAGAAGCCTTGCTTTGCCACTCAGAGCATTTGCCATTAGCTAAATTAATTTGTTCTGCCCTGTCTGTTTTCATATACATGTAAAGAGAAAAAAAAAAGCCTTTTCTCCGAGCAGTTACCTCCTTTGATAAATTGGTGCCTGTGGTGTAGCTCAGGTGATTCGCCTCCTCTACCAGGCTGCTCAGTTTGGGGATGGAGCTAAGGAATGAAGCTTTGCAGCTTAGGACATAGACCCCATAATTCAGGCAAAATTCCTGGCTCTATATTAAATGGGTAAACAGAAACTTAAACATTGTGTTTCAGCTCAAGATTTTTTTCATCTTAAGAACAGGCAGCAGAATCTTGACTCCCTCAGGGAGATGTTGCTTCATCGTTTTGCACGTAGCTGATGCTGGCCTGGCTAAGACGGTGTCAGTGAACTCAGATGTGGAGCACATGGCTTCCTGCTTTTCTGTCTTCAGGCATCGTCCGCCTGTCCGCTTAAAGCGCCGGGGTCTGTCGAAGCATCTGGCTTCTTTTCCCCTTTCTCAGAATCCGTGATAAATTAGCTCTGCCCCTTCCCCTCTGAAGAGATTACACAGATGGGATTTTCTGGGAAGTCCTGTCACCTGTGCCCCGAGGGGTTCTAATCTGCCAAAAACACGGCAGGGTGTCACCTCTCACCTGCTGGGAGCCTGCTTTCTGAACGGTGACAATCAGTAAAGTAGCGTGACATGTCTGGGAGACTGGGTCTCCTTGTCTTCCTTGCCCATCCCCTAAGTTCCTGCTTCTTAGCATGAGTTTTCCAGGCCATCTTTCATCGCAGCCAGGGGGCATGTACGAGGAATCATCTGAGATTTGATCAGGAGAGGATTCCTTTCACCCTTGAGGCGTCCCTATTAGGAACTCTTCCACAGAGTGCACATAACTGAAAGACTTGAAGAGGGGGGTGGACAGTTACTAGTGTCTGGATGTACTGTCAACACACAGCTGAATCCGTACGTAGTAAGAGTGCCCATTTGCCTGCCGTATGTTGCCCATGGTATTCCTCAGTCCATTAAAAAAACAGCACAAAAGTGCTCCCAAGGGTTTCTACAGGGACTCGGGGACGAACTTCTATTTTTAAACCAGTCACCGGGACACAGAGGAGCTCCGTTTCTTTTAAGAGGGCACGCAGACAGGCAGGCCCCAGGTCATCTTCTGTAGTTGGCAATACATCTCTCCTTCCTGGCCTTCTTCCTACCTGGAAGTCGTGGATCAGACCTATCTTCCCAAGTCAGCTTTGTCTTTGTCCTGTTTCCTCCTCTGGGTCCCTTTGTCTCTCTGTCCCTTGGGCTTCTTCCTCTTGACCCTTACACGGTGATAGGTACCCCATCTGTGATATTCTTTGTCCTCGACTGATCTCTGCCTCTTTTCTGTTCTTCTAGGAGAAAGTTACCTTAGAAGTAATTTTGGACAGGAAGCAATGCCAAGTCTCTTTCCAAGGATGCATATAATTAAATTTCTCATGGATAATTGGAGGTCAGGAATTCATTGAGCAGATCATGTGACGTGAAAGAGGAAAAGGTTTGATTTTTTAGCTTGTTGTGAATTGGCGTGAAGGTTTACAGAGCAGATCATAGTTTTACATTAGCAATTCATGCACATTCTGATTGAGCCCATCCATTGGAGCCCCTCAAGGTACCATTACTTGTCTCACGTCTCCCCGTGTTTCCTGTCTCCACTCCTCCTTTCCTGCCTTTCTGAATTGTGTCTTTGGATGGTTTTTAGAATCAAATTACCTTTAATCATATAGGCACATGGCAGTTATTTTTCATCTGAATGCTATCTTCCAGGGCTTACCCCACATATTTGTAATTGTGCCTGGCAGCAGCCATGCATATCCAAAAAACGTAGAACCGTGAAGTGGTTAAAATACAGCGTTTAGAGCTGTGTCTTGGTTCATATCTTGGTTCCACTTCCCAACTACAGTGTAGCGAAATACTTGATATGATTCTTCTAGCATTAACCTCTGTAATTCCTACCAATTGTCTAGGGAAGACTAGCTAAATGTGAGGTGTTTGGATAGTCTGCTAATAACATAAAGTACACGGCACCCATGGGAGGTGAGCTGGAACCATGCAGATTCGGTTTATGCAATTCTAACATGGAAAGTGGTTCAGTTTTGCCTTCCCACTAGGTTGAAAGTAAGCCAACACTGAAGGGGAAACAGGCTCCCACAACCATCGTGAAAGAAGGGCCAGGAACAGTGTGTCTTCTGAACCCAGAACCCCTGCACCTTTATCCAGGAGACGGATCTGTGATCCCAGAGACGTGGGAGAGAAGCTGTGTCTAGAGAGGCAGGCTGCCCCACGAACAAAAGGCAGAGTCTCTGGGGCTTCCTGGCCCCTTTGGGCAGGAGGCTTCCCTGTGGGTGGGGTGCTCCTGGGCAAATGAGAAAGCTAAGTTCGCCAACCTGGTTAGAGCTGAAGCCCTTCAGGCCTGGGCTTACTTTGGTCAGGCAGCCTCTTGGCCATAGCCTCAGCCGGAAGGTGAGAGAAAGCTTTCCCTTAGCTGGTACCCTGAAATCAGACTTGTAGCCTCCTCTGAGAGAGTACGTTTCTGTTACAACCACTGCTGTAATCACTGTGGTATAGCAGTAAGATAGGGGCCAGCTCTAGGCAAAGGCTTTTTGTCTCTGTTGGCTCTGGGGAAAAGTCCTTGTCTCTTGTTAACATCTGTGGAGTCGGGCCATTGCTTAAAGATCTCCTTGTGTCTTGCTATCAGTCATCATCTGGGTCAAAGAGGTTTTCATCACAGCAGCCCCAGGCATTTCACCCAGTTGTTCTTCCTTGGTGGTGATCAGGTTGCCCTTTCTCGGCTTTCTTCTCTCACTTTTATAAGATTGCAGGTGAGGCAGACTGCACCCGAAGGAAGTGCCCCTTACATAGGATTAGTGGTACACTACAGCTGGAATACGGATATTGCACCCCACCCTAATTCCACCAGTTGATTAAGCGACCTCATCACTGAGCTGATGACATCAAAACCTAACTGCCAGATTGCACCATCCCCAACCTGCCTGAGAATTAGCCTAGTAAAGGTGACATATGTTTTGAAGAAACAGAATTTAACTTATGACATAACCTTTACTAATTTATTTTTTGGATATATGATGTATATCCAAATAGCTTTTTATATTCTTTATGAAGCACTTTATTGCATTTCTATTTGTATGTAGTTTAAGCTGTGAAAGGACACTTTACGTATTGGTTTATTCTCTTTTTATGTAAGTTTCATGATTAAGCCATGGTTGTTTTAATGTATTTATTTGATCGCTTGCTTTCGGTTCCTTTGTCAGTGCCTTGAGGAAATGGCCTGGAGTCTGTATGTGAAGCCCCCTGGCTCTATAAAAGAGAAAGAGGATCCAACTCCCATCTGCCCAAGGTCAAATCCTGTGTGGCAGAGGTCAGATATGCCTCCTCCCTCCAACTTCTGTACCCTACTCTGATCTGACAACCACTGCCCCTCCCACGACATTCTGCTCTCTGATGGGTTTGGTACTTCATTGTCGTGACCACACACAGATCACAGGCAGTACTCATGGTTATGAGGTTTATTAGTGAAGCATTTCTCTTAATGGCTAATGATCGGGAACATTTTCTCCTATGTTTGTTGGCCATTCAGATTTCTGCCCCTGTGAAACTATTGTTCAGCTCCTTTGCCCACCTCCTCAGTAGGAAAATTTTTTTTTGGTGGGGGGAGGTTCTTTTTGGAAGCAGAGTATTGTAGATTTTAGTAATAAGGCCTTTTTCTGATGTGTCTGTCATTGCTAAAGGTGTTTTCCCAGTTCGTGGGCTCTCTTATTACTCTCTTGGTGAATTCTTTTGATGTAAACAGGTGTTTTATCTTCAGTATATCCCATTTGTCAATTTGTGACTCCTCTGTATTTGTGTCCTTTCCTATTTCCAATAACCTATGCAATCCCTATGCCAAGGTTCTCAGGTTTGTCCCAATTCCCTCATTGTAGGCCCTAATAGTTTGGGGTTTTACCACAAGGTCTGTGATCCACCTTGAGTTTATTCTTGTGCATGGAGTGTAATAAGAGTCTTGCTTCATTTTTCTGCAGGTAGATATCATTTTTTCCAGCACCACTTGTTGAAGAGAGCATCTGCTTCCCATTTGGTATTTTTTAGGCCCTTATCAAAGATCAGTTGTCTGTATGTTCAGTCCATCTCCTAAAGAGACTTCCTCTTTTTCACTTCCTGTTGCCTTTACCAAGCATGATGTCCTTCTCCAGAGACGGGTCTCCCTTGACAGCATGTCCAAACCTTAGGATAAGACGTAACTGCTTTAGGGACATGTTTCTATCTTTACCATTCTCAGTTCTCTTAGCTTTCAATAGGGTATTTGAAAGAAATTAAAATTTTTGAATCTTTGATAAAATGCTCTAGTTTGAAAATGGAGCATTCAACTTTCTGATGACTAGGTGAAAAACTATCTTCAGTAAAGCTTCAGAATAAACTTTTATCTGTATAGATTTTTCATTTGGTTAGACAAAGCTTCTGTAGCACTGTCTGTAGACTCCAGCACAAGTGGAAGAGGTCACAGATGTATATATTCTGTGGGGTGTTCATATGCAATATACTAATCTTAATTTCGCTAGGAAAAAACCCCACTGCCGTTGAGTTGAGTTTGACCTCAGCCAGCCCTTTGTGGGATTTCCAAGGCTGTGACTTTGTTATTTTTTAACAGTTCTATTAGCACGTCATCTGCGTGTCCTGAAATTCAATAATTCAGTTATATCAAGAGGAATGTTACAATGTTAAACACAATTCTGGAACATTTTCTTCTTGTAGTCATAGTTACTCATGTAATTGTGTTTTTTTTCTAATTGTGGCAGAAATATACACAGCAGAACATTTTCCAGTTTCACAA